CATAGCAGTAGTCAAAACATGAAGCAAATCAATGTGTGAATGTGTGTGTCTGTTGATTAAATGGTGTGTAGCTAAAAACATTCTCACGACCTCTAGTACATGTCGTGACTTAAACATAAGAACATATTATGGCTAAGGCTACAGTTATACACGTCGTAATAATAATATTAAACACCCTGTCTGCTGACAGTCATCAACTCTTCTCTCTAGTTATCCTTGACCAGATGTACCCTGTAGAAACTCATAAGCATGCCTAAGCATTTAACAGTCTAACTAGACATCCTATCTCCACTAAACATTTCTAATACATAAAGTATCTATCCAATATCTATCTGACTAAAAATAGCTAACAACGGACAGTACTGTTTTCCAGCTCATCTGGTGGGTTTCTACAGTATTCCCAGGCCAGGTGAGATGATCTCTCCTGCACGTTCTGGGTCTACCCAAGGGTTTTCTGCCAGTTGGATGTGCCCAGAAAGTCTCCAAAGGCAGGTGCGCTAGAGGCTTTCCGGATGTCTGAGCTCCACATCCTATCTCTAAGTGGTAAGTCCAGCCACCTTGAGAAGGAAACTCATTTCAGCTTCTTGTATGGAATTTCCCCATTGTGGGATCAATAAAGTCCTACCTACATACCTACCTACCTTGTGTTAGATTTTACCCAAATTCTTTTATTGAAAGCGCGAGAAGTGAAGACAGGAGAGGATGGTTTAAAATCAACAGAAAGTTTACTCAAAGTCTGGGCACAGGTGAAGTTTTACAGCGCTGGGGTCAGAGCGACAGAGCTCCCACAGGAATTCCATTCTCTGAACCCTGAGTTACGTGTTTACATTGAATTTATTTCCTTGGGCTAGGCCCACCCTGGACAGAGGTACAACATTTCACACTTCATAATCCTATTGGTCATTTGGTGTGAGTAGGTCAACCCCTGCCTGTGCCTGCTTGCTGAAATGTGATCTAAACCAGGTGTGTGTGCATTTCTCAGGTGGCAGCTTGATCTTGATCAGTGAACACTGAACAATGGGTGGTCTGGGCTGCAGGCCCCCTGTGTGTGTGATGCTAAGTATGCTAAACTGGCCAGGTGGTCGTCTCAGGTTGTAGGCCCCCAGGCTCTGCAAGACACCACATGACAAAGCAGAACTTGGAATAAGCTAAGCGGGTCTAAGTGAAGGTGCAAAACAGGCCAACAGGTCTTTGTTAAAATGTAAAATAGGCAGTCTGGTTACCTGAAGGTACAAACACTATGTCTCTACAAAATTTGCAGAACACAGTTCCAAAGTTTCACTCAGCCATCAATACAGTTTTAATATGTATAAGCAAGGAAAATAAAGGTATGAAAAGTAACTAAAAGAAAATAAAGAACTGAAAAGCAACTAAAGGAAACTAAAGTTATGAAAAGTAACTAAAGCTTTTAAAGTAACTAGAGCCTATAAGAATCAAATCTTACACTTGTATTCACAATCTTATTTATTTGGACAGTTAGCCACAGCTCATGGCCATAGATGAGGGCTGGAGCGTAAAGTACCTTTGCTTGTGAACAAAACCCCAAGATACCTAAACTCCTTCACCTGGGGCAGCAACTCACTGCCAACCCAGAAGCATTCCACCATTTTCCGGCAGAGCAGCATGGCTTCAGAGTTGGTGGTGCAAACTTTCATCCCCTCCGCTTCACACTTGGCTGCAAACTGGGGCAGAGGTCACACTCTGATGAAGCCAACAAAACCACATCATCCACAAAAAGCAGAGGAGCTGCAATTCTGAGGTCCCCAACCCAGACACTTTCCTCCCCCCATTTGCACCTTGAGATCCTGTCTATGAAAATCACAGACAGGGACAACCCTGATGTGAACCAACACCAACTATGAATGCGTTTGACTTATTGCTGATTATGTGTACACTGGTTATACAAGGACTGGATGGCTTGTACCAACAACCCCAGTGCCCTATACGCCGAAAGTACCTCTTAAAAGATTTCACAAAGGGCCCAGTCATAGGCCTTCTCCAAGTCCACAAAGCACATGTGGACTGGATGGGCAAACTCCCAAGATCCTTCAGGTAACCCTGCAAGAGTAAAGAGCTGGTCCACTGTTCCACGACTAGGATGGTATCCGCGGTTTGATAATTTTTTAATTTTTATTTTTTAAAACTAACCGCTCCTTCATAACTCTGTGAATGTTGTTGAAATCTTTGTAGCTTAAAATCTCAACTAAATTCTTACAACTTGTTAGGTATTTTTAGTCAGATAGATATTGGATAGATACTTTATGTATTAGAAATGTTTAGTGGAGATAGGATGTCTAGTTAGACTGTTAAATGCTTAGGCCTGCTTATGAGTTTCTGCAGGGTATTTCTGGTCAAGAATACCAGAGAGAAGAGTTGATGACTGTCAGCAGACAGGGTGTTTAATATTATTATTATGACATGTATAACTGTAGCCTTAGCCATAATATGTTCTTATGTTTAAGTCACGACATGTTACTAGA